CAAAAGCCCCCTGGCTAGGAGCCTTTTGCCAAGGTCGCACCCCCTCCTACACACTGGTGCGCAGTTTGCATCCCTGGGACGTCCGGGACATGCGTCTGCCTGTGTGTCACCATAAATCAGAAGTCCAGCTTAGAGGGAGCATTGATGGTGATCAGCGGTCATTTCGTAGAAAAATAGGCGCAGGAACTCATTAGCATAACTCATTTGCATATGCCACACCCCCTGACATCACCGGAAGTGTGTCAGAAGGCAACACCCACCACTCAGGCTCCACTGGACTGTTTTGGATTACTAGCTATGGGGGGGGGAGGAATGTGCAGATCTGTCCTCGCAGAAGAGGGAGAGCTTGTACCTGAATAAGACTTGGTCTTAAAGGCACCACTGGACTGTTTGGGGCTGGGGGGCTGGGGGCGGACTCTGCAACTTACCTGGCTGCTTCATGCTCTGACTGAGGGCTGCTGGGAGCAGGAGGTGGGGCTTGTTGCATGTGCCCGCCCCCTGGGCTCTTTACTGCTGGAGCTCCGCTCCTGTGCGCTCCTGCAAGAAATGACCCATGATGGTGATTCCTGGACTGAAGAATATCCAGCTGTCCTCAACCGGAGCCAGGCCTTTTTCCGGCTCTGGCACCAGCCTGGTGGAACTCTCTGCTGAACGACATCCGTGCCCTGCGGGACCTAGTCCAGTTCCGTGGGGCCTGTAAAACAGAGATGTTCCACCAGGCCTGCAGCTGAGGACGGCAACGGCCTCCCATCGAGCTTGGCCTCCCCATCTCCTCCCTCAAGGACGGATACCTAATGTCTAACGCCATCTGATCGATTTTGATTACGACTGGTTTATTGTTTTAGATTTTAATCTCTATCTATGTAGTATTTATTAGAATGTATTTATACACTGTTGTTAATCGCCCTGAGCCCCCCATTGCGGGGAGGGCGGTATATAAGTCGAATAAACAAACCAACAAACCTGGGCTCTGCTGAGAGGCGGGGGAAAGGAGGCCTTGAAAATGCCACAGCTTGAGAATTCTCCCTGCTTCCTATTGGCCAGGCCATCACATGATGCCACAATCTGTCCCTCCTACCCCTAAAACAGTGGCCTGCATGACTGAGCTTTGTCAAGCGCCAAGGGCCTTCTGCCGGGACGGCTCCTCTTGGACTGTCCTTTCATTACGTAGCTCTCTGGAATCCCGCCAAGGACAGGTATCTTCTCTCTCTGAGCCCCTGTTGGCCATCTCACTGCGCTGGTTTCCCTCCTCCTCTTCTGCACAGAGGATGCTTCCACAGACCAGGTCCATATGTTGTGTAGTGTTATCTGCTCGAAGGGTGGCTCTCCAGAACCTCAGGCAGAATGGTGGCTGCTTGCTGAGATCCTTCAAGTGGGGAGGATTGAACCCGAGGCCTTTCGCGTGCAAAGCAAGGGCTGTGCTGCCTCTGAGTTGGGATGCTTCCCAGACCAAATGTGCTTTTCTGTGTCCCTACAGATAAAAGGAATAGGATTGCCTTTAAACATGGGGAACGACCCTTTCACACACAGAGTTCTATGTGACAGCCAGTGTTCCCTATAAGCGGAGTTTGTGTGAGCTAGCTCACAGTTTTTTAGCTTCCGGCTCACACATTTTTGTCTCAGCTCAGGAAGGAGGGCTCCAGAGCGAACTAATTCATGCAGGAGCCAAATCGCTCGCTCACAACTTGAATGCCAGCAGCTCACAAAGTAGAATTTTTGCTCAGAGGACTCCACAGCTTATAGCAGGGGTGTCAAACTGAAGGCCCGGGGGCCGGAACTGGCCCATCCAGGGCTCTTATACTGCCTGTGAGCAACTAGGGCAAGGGAGGGAACAGGAGACTGCTCAGGCAGGAGTGGGCAGAGCCACTCTGATTGTGGATTCCCATCCTCATCTGCAGCAGTCAACCAGTGTGGGAGCATCTGCCCACCACTGTGCACTGCTGGCTCTAAAATCCACCCCAATAGGTTTTCCTTTGTACCCCTCCTCCAGCCCATGGGGCTGTGCAGTGAAGACAGAACAACTCGAAACTTACCAGCTGCTGTCCTTTATACGGTTTTTAATCTCCGGTCGCTGGCATTACATTTGATGGCACACATGGCCCAGCCCAACAAAGTGATGTTTATGTCAGATCTGGCCCTGGTAACAAATGAGTTTGACACCTCTGGCTTAGAGGGACCACTGGTGACAGCATGAGGCCTCAAAGTCCCAGTATGAAGATGAACACTTTCCTACTGTCTGGGGGCGACAGCTTGCCAGCCTCTTATACAGGCTAGAAACGGTCCCCGTTGGATTCCAGAAATTCAGTGCTGGATCACCATTGGTACAGTGGTCTTTTGTACAGAGCCAGACCAAGCCCTTTTCCTTCTGAACAATTCTCCCCAGATATGCCACCAAAAATCCCCCCCAAAGGCATTGTGGAGGGAGCTTCCACAGAAGGACGCTGGTGCAGGAATTGGGTGTCACTGGCCTGGCAAGAAGGAGACGGCAACACACAAGGAGGCCTTCGAGGTCTTTTGTTACGCTGCACATCCCTGACCCCGAACTTGGCATGAGGCGATCGCCCCGCCTCTTCAAGGAGTTTTTGGCCAGCACAGAAGGGCCAAGAGGAATTTATTGCCATCCGGGTCATGGTCTGTCAAAGTCAAGGCAAAAAAGTGCCACTAGCTCAGGGCAAAAGGAAAGTGAGCCGTGAGCAAATGCTCGGAGGTCTGTGGAATCATCCACACGTCGCTAGGTACTGGGCTCTCCCGGTGCAACCGCCATCATTCCCCTTCCGGGCCATCTTGTCCAAAAGGGAAATCCAACTGTGACTCATCATAGCAGTGCACCAAGAGTGCAGTCGCCAACATTTGAACGCAGCACATGACAGCATCTCCGCCCCATTCGCATATGAAGTCGGGTGGAGTAGGAGGCCCGATTTGTACACCAAAAGTGCAGTGTGGGCAAGGGAATCTAGTCCTTTCTTACTCCTTACAACCTGTGCTACGGTTGCTAAACTCTTGAGTTCAGAAATTCCTGGATATTTGGTGGTGAAACCTGTGGAAGGGGGAGTTTGGGGAGGGGGAAGGATCTCAGCAGGATACCAAGCCACAGAGCAGGGGTGTCAAAGATATGGTCCATGGGCCGAAATCGGCCCATCCAGGACTTTTATCTGGCCCGTGAGCGACTGGTCATTATCTTTGTTGCCAGATGACCAGAGGCTGTGCATTATGTCCCTGCATACTGTCCCAGGGCAGGATGGGTGAATAATAATAATAATAATAAGTCAGTTGAAGTGGGCAAGTGGGCATAAGGGAGATCCCTTAAGGAAATACTGTAAGAGTGTTAATGTTCAAATCATTTTTGCATTTTGTGTAATACCAGTATCCTCAATCGGGTTTGCCTGTGTGCTCTATAAAGTTCATATCTCCGGTACTTGGCATTACATTGCATGACATACGTGGCCCGCCTGACAAAGTGGCATCTATGTCAGATCCGACCCTCGTAATAGATGAGTTTGACACCCCTGCCATAGAGCCCACCCTCCAAAACAGCCATTTCCTCTAAGGGAACTCCAAGTGTGGAATTTGGGGAAGGGAGGGAGGGACCTCAGTGGAAATGTGATGTCACTCTAGGACTTGTATTTCTCCTCTGTGGTATACCATAGAGTCCACACTCCGAAGCTGCCATTTTCTCCAGATGAACTGATCTCTGTAGTCTGGGAATCAATGATAATTCTGGGAGAACTCCAGACCTCACCTGAAGGTTGGCAACCCTTCCTGTCTCCCAGTCTGCGTCCCACAAGAGAGGTCCAGATTGGGAGAAAAAGGAAAGGCGGAATGCGGGGGATGCCAAGTCTCTACAGCGCCTTGAGAGTACTGTTCCTGCAGCTTTAATTCCCAGAAGGAACAAATGACAGTGTGAGTGTTCCCCTTTCAAAAACAGACACAAATGATAACTTTGACGCACAGAAACTACCATTTCAAGGATGTTCTCCAAAGGGGAGGGAGAAGGAGGAGGAGGAGGAGGAGGGGACGCCAGGCGAGGAGAAAGTGTTGGTCTTGGGTGGGACCTTCTTCCAGCGGTCTTTTTCATTCAAGAGAGAAGAGGGAGAGAGAGATAAATACCAAGGGGGCACCTTCTCTGCCGGAGGAATTTTGGCCAAGGCCAGAAGCTGAAGAGCACGGCCGCATCAGCCGCACGCCTCGATCAACTCAGGTTTTTTCCTTTGCTTATTCTGGAATTTAATTCATGTCCTTGGTGGTAGTCGGGAACCAGCTACGTGGTACTCAGGGGAGGGTCACCAACTCTGGGCTGAGAAATGTGTGGGGATTTGGGGGTGGAGACTGGGGTGGGGGTCTCGGAAGGGTTATAATGCCACGGAGCCCACCCTCCAACGCAGCTATTTTCTCCAGGGGAACTGATCTCTGTTGTCTGGGGGTCAGTTGTAATTCTGGGAGATCTCCGGGCCCCACACCTAACTCAGGGCCAGATTGGGACCACAAGGAGAAGAGCGCTGATGCCCGCAGCATGGGGGTAGGGGGGTTCATCTTGCTCCCATCCAATGTTCCCTCTAAGCTGTGGAGTCCTGTGAGCAAAAATTCTGCTTTGTGAGCGACTGGCATCAAAGTTGTGAGCGAGCGACTTGGCTCCTACATAAATTAGTTTGCTCTGGAGCCCTCCTTCCTGAGCTGAGACAAAAATCTGTGAGCCGGAGGCTAAAAAACTGTGAGCTGGCTCACACTAACTCAGCTTAGAGGGAACACTGCTCCCATCCATTCACAGCATGGGAGGTCACCCGCATTCCCCTCCTGGGCTTAGGGCACTGAAGGGCACGGAGCCCCCAAAATACCTTGAAGCAGCCCTGGCAGCAGTGAATACTGAGACTCACTCTGGGGGGCAACAGCTGTGCCTGAGACTCCCCCCGCCCTCTCTTCAGACATTTCCAGTCAGTCTCTGGTCCTCTCTCTCTGGTCTCCAAAGGGGGGAGCTGCCTCTGCCAAGCCGCAAGTCTGCTGCCATGTCCCTGGTCGGCGTGAAGTGCCTGGTGACCGGAGCTGGGGGGTTTCTTGGCCAAAGGATTGTTTGCCAGTTGCTGGAGGAAGGAGAGAAACTGGCTGAGGTCCGCGCCTTGGACAAAGCTTTCAGCTCGGAGACACTTCAGCGCTTTGCAGGTCAGTGAATATCCTGTGGCCATCCTATGACGGGGGTTGGGGGGGAAGAGTTCTGGCCCCCAGAGACGTTTTCTGGTTTTCAAAAAGGTAGGCCTTCCCCATCAGCTAGCATCTCCCATCTCCAGAAAACAGCGTCGTTCTGGAAGGGTGAACTTGCGCCTGGGCTATATCACTTCCGGCTGCCGGTGGGAGCTCTTAAAATTTTTCCCTGCATGTAGAAAACTAGCATAGGACCGTCTCCCCGATGAGGGTGATTTCTGCATGTAGGTTTTTGGCTTCTTTTTCAGTCTGGACGAACATTTTGTCACGCTGGGAAGCTGAAGCGGTAGAGCCCCAACCCTCGCGACAAGAATTAGGCCAATGGAGATCTGAGGATCGCATACTCTCGCGCTTGATTTACCGTTCTCAGGAAAACCATCCTAAAACCTGTAATGAGATGCTTGGGTGTCTGCCTATTGTGTAGAAGAGTGGGAATGGGTTGTGTCAGTCTTCAGTCCCATTGGATGGAGACTGACCTGGCTGGCCCAGTGGAGCAGAGCGGGGAAGGGCTCGCATGCCGGGATCCATTACTGCAGCTCTCCGTCTTCTGCTTCTCCTTCTTCCCTTTACTGCCGTCTGCTACAGCTTTGGTTTTTCACCATTCTATTTTCACCAGGAAACCCTTTCCAGACCACCTTGGCTGCAACTTGCAATGGATTCAGGAGCATATTCTAGGGCACTCTGGGCACTCTGGGGGGGAGGGGGGTACCATCCAGCAGGTGAGGCCTGGAGATCTCCCAGAATTACAACCAGGGCTATTTCTGGGCAGGAACGCACAGGGACGGAGTTCCGGCTGGCTTCAGAGTTGGCCACGCCCACTACAGCCAAAACCTCTGTGTGTGTGTGGCTACAGAGGGAAGGCCTGGAGAGCAAACCCCCCCCCCTGCGACTCC